TGTTTGAGAGTGTGTGTGTGTGTGTGTGTATGTGAGAAAAAGTTCAGTACTTGTTGTGCTCAATCCTCCAGCTTCTGAGTTCAGTAAAAACATCCCTGTGATCCCGGCTGCTCCACTCTTCATGCTCAAACGTGTGTTCAGGAACGAAGCTACTGATCCGTGTGCTGGGACGAGTTTGAGAGCTAGAGTTTTGGAGCTGGACAGATGGAAAGAATTTTGTTTTCATGGGGTGATATATAATATACATATATAATTCTATTGGTGTCCGTGATTGATGTACGGTATACGGATCAGTTTGATGAGATTCACCTTTATTTTCTGTCTTCGAGCTCGAGCAGCCTGTAGTGGATTCCCACAGAGAACTCGGCCAACACCTGTGCAGACATCACCGTCACGTATTACTTCCCAACACACAGCACACACCACGAAATATGTCATATTCTTAATATTACAGTTATTGTAGCATAAACTCATAATCACGTGTATAACAGTTTATGAGAGCCAATAGGGGGGGAAAAACTAATTAGATTTTTCTGATGAAAATTACAACTGCTATTTAAAATATAATAATTATTATTATTATAATAATAATAATTATAACAGCTCAGAATAGTTTAGCGAGTCCTGCTGTAGGAACAGAAAGTGCGGCTCTATCAGGGTGAGTGCAGGAGTTTACCGTTGGTCAGATCGCTGGCCTCGTGGTTCAGGACGGTGATGTTGGAGCCGGTCGATCCTGGTCTTGATCCGCTGCAGGGAGTGAGAGGTCTGGCGCTGTCTGGACGGCTTCTCAGATCTCCAGGCCGAGCTGAAGCAGGTCTGACGCCGCTCTTAAACACATGGAGTGCTGCTGAGACAGTCTCCAGAAGCTGCTGTTTGTCTTTACCTGTGTCTGCATCTGTGAGCTCCAGGCCGTCACTGACTGAAGCGTCTCTGATGGATTCTCTGAGAAGAGTCCAGTCCTGCAGTGAAGCTCTGCAGCGTTGAGGTTTGTCCTCTTCAACAGGAGCGTCATCGAGGAAGATCAGCTGAGGGATCAGCTCACGCACCGCAGACCTGTAGCTGTAGCCCGAGACCTGCAGCACAAACCACATGCGAGGAATCTGTCTGAGTATGATTGTATTTTGCAAACCAAATTTATCATTAAAGAAGAAAAACAGAAGAAAGATGGTGATGCTTGAAGTACCTCAGAGGCTCCTGGAGCGGGGCAGGTGCACACAGGGTTTCCTTCCAGTGAAAGTGTCCTGAGCTTCACACAACGGCCCAAATACCACAACTGAGCCTGATCTTCAACCTCGTTCTCCTCCAGATCCAGCAGCTCCAGATCCTCCAGCAAACTGACTGGACTCAGGTCTGAGACGCTGTTGAACGCCGCATACAGCTCCTGAAAAAAACACCAGCATTTAGGACTCGTTCACTTTATTTAGTGACTTTAAAATACAAACATACTGTAGTTCATGATAAGTAATAGTGTGATCTGTTTGATTTTAAAATACTTTGACATTAGAAAAACAAGAGTTTCATCAGTTCAGTCTCTGCAAGCCTTTGCTTCTAAATCTTGTTGGATACCTTTAAGGAGGAAAGAGCAGAAATCCCCTCCAGGTCAGTCAGACCACATCGAGCCAGACATAAGACCTGCAGGAGGGAGAAGCCGGTTCCCAGATCCCTGAGGAAATACTGAGAATAATAAGCCTTTATCTGATTCACTTCCTCTCTCTATATTATTATATTTCAATGCATGTTTATCTTCAGTGAAATTTATGGGTTCTGTATTCTTTCATAAATTCTATTTGTTCTTAGTTTTTGAGGATGAGGCCTGAAACACAAGCTGTCCGTGTTGCCACCTGCCTGCTTTGGCTTTTATGAATTTGGATGGACAACAATTATGTTTTTT